CACACTTGCAACGTGTACGTTTCATTAGCTGCCAATATAACATCAGGCATATTTGTCATGAGACCAACATCTGTTACACATGGTTAAGCCAAATGATTAGTTTTTTAAAATAAAAGGTGAAAAATGTTTTTAAAAAATTGCATTACTGGTCATCCCAATGATCGGCGGATTAGGTTCATCTAAGTTCATCACACTTTTATAAATGCCTATCCAATCCTCAGGGGCGCCATGTTTGACATAAGTCGAGCGCAAAATTACCGACGTGTTTGTACGGTCAGCTCGACCGGGAATAAGTAGATGGCATAAATTAGTTGTATTTATGTTAACATTAAAACCAGTGATTGAATGCCAGTCGGCGGTAGTGTTACAGTTGCCGGCCCTCAGCACACGGCGCACAATGAGCTGATAGTCGACCCTTTGGTGAAACACTAGTTTCAATTGATTAGTGTTTGAAGGGATTATTGCTGGTCCGTATAAGCGAGAGTAAAGTGTAATTAACTTGTGACGATCGCTAACATCTCTATCCACGTTATCGTAGACGTTAAATAGGGGCTGGTCGGATGAGCCAGGTAATATTACCGAAGCGTTTAGCTCCAACACTAATTGGTGCTCATTGTCCGTCTCAAACGTGTATATAACGGGAGTTGACTGTATATGTGTTGTTGTGTTGAGATTTAACCGTAAATTATAGGTGTCTACATAAGCCGGAAATCTGTAGTTAAATCCTATAACAACAATCCTATAATATTATATTATTTTATTTGAATCTATAAAGTAAATAAATCGCTTGTGATAATAGTTTAATAGTTAAACTTTAATTAGTAACAGTTACTATTAAAAACATCTACATAAAAATATTAATGACTTTATTTTAATAAAAATGATTTATTAATTTTGCCTCAACAAACTGTAATACTGTAATATCTACATAGACATTATAATTATAAGTATAAGTATACTGTTATTTAACGACGCTATGGTATCAGCTGAAGCTGGTATTCTTACCAGGCGTCGGTGTTTATTAAGCCACATCCCGTGGCCACAGCACCGGCAGACACAACCAGTAACTGTCTAGCGTCCGTATTAACGAGAGCACGCCGACTACTCTCTCAGCCGTAATTAAGTTGGAAAAACAGATTGTGAAACAGGTCCCTAACGGGTAGCGAACCCAGGACTGCCACATTGATCTGCCCTAGAGATTTTACCTCTAGACCAACAAGGCTGTATACTCAAAGCTTAATAGTATTTCTATGAAGAATTCAAGTACTACTATAATTTATAAATTTATTTATAATTATGGGAGTAATAATTTATAATAAGTATTAACATTTCACTTTATCAATGCTTACCGTGATATACCGTCTGTATGCCAATTAAATTATCATCGCTAGGAGTAGTGTTGACCACACGTCTCGACTCATACGTTACAGTTATGGTGTTTGCTGTCGATTGCAAATACTTTGTGCGCCAATACGTGTCCAGCAATTGTTGCTCAATGACTGCGAGCGGAGGGCACTGTTGGGACAGACCGTCCGATACGGTCATAATGTCGGCGCTGTTTATAAATGCTTTAAATTGATCTAATTGTAGCTCAAATCTGGCCGAAACATCATGGTGCTCATAGATGTTGACACATTTATACTGGTGCAATGTTTGCATCGCTTGGTTATCGGGCAGAAGTACAGTGGGAACATTTTCGGTCTCGGTTATCTAAAAATATAAAATTTTATTTTATTAATATCTTATATTTGTATTTTTGTAAATTACGAAATAATTATATTTTATAAGTTAATTGTACGTAAAATGATTTACATTTTCAATATTTATAAATTAATATATTATATATTCAATATACAATAATATAAAAGTTACATACATATGTATATAATATTTATATTTCATATTGTGCAAACTGTAAATATAAAGTGTTTATATAGTAAACAATTACAATTTTAAATATATATATATTAAATTGGAGTAAACACGCTAAGGCTAATAATTAATGTCTAAAAATGTAACTTTTTTAAAAAAAATATTATACCTGTTTATATTGACTGCACTGCGAGTCCACCACTTCGTACTTATACCTGATGTTTGCACTACTCGTCGACTCACGTCTATAGCCTCTAATCATAGCCACAATCTGTTGACCCGTCGACAGCAAAAACTCCGGTCGAGTAGTGTTGCCATCAAACAACTGTTCCGTTCCATACTTCTCAACCTTATAGAATCTGATTGTACCACCATTCAAATCACCTGGTTCCATACTCATTAACAACTTTGACTGCGCATGTTTGCTCTCAAACACCAGATCAAAGTCAAGGCCAGTCGACGGGAACTTCATATCCCGGTGCGAGTATGGAAACACATACCGACCCGGACTGTCAATACGGGTCAGTTGTGCCGTCAGGTCTTTAGTATTGTAGTCAACGTCCCATTTGCGGTCCCAGGGGTCAG